TTTCTTTACCCAGTGAGTCATCCCTCTGGTCCTACAGACACATTTGGATCGTTAGTGGCAATATCTTTCTAAGGATAGAGTACATGATCTCAAGTTGGTAGAGAACAGTGATTAAGATGTTACTTTGCATAGTACCTTCCAGCACTATGAAAGCCAGCCAGTAGGAATAAAGCTTCCAGGTCAATACCAACAAGATATCTTCATGTTTTGTGACTCAAGTATGTGGTGTTTTCAGTCATAGGGCCCGTTCTGTTGAGGTCTGTAAGGTAACCAGAAGCTTTGGCAATAGCCTATAATGTTTGGAATCTGTGAGATCCCACCAGTCAACAACTCCAAAAGTAGAAACGCATTCCTGGCACTGAGCTTGCTTATTTATTTATTTATTTATTCATTCATTCATTCATTCATTATGTTAACCTGTGGTGTCTAGTAGCAGCATTGTTGCCTCCTTATTGGGTAGTTCCATGGTGTGTGTGTGTGTGAATGTATGTGAATGTGAGTGTGTATCTGTATGTGTATTTGTGTGTGTGAGTGTGTGAGTGAGTGTGAGTGTGTATATCTATGTGAGTGTGTGAATGTGAGTGTGTGTGAGTGTGTGTGAGTGTATGTGTGAGTGTGTGAGTATGTGTGTGTTTGTGTAAGTTTCTATAATGGTAGGTAGTATACAGTCCACTGAAAGGTCACACAGCCAAGAATATATGGACAGAGCAAATTGGACTTGATAGTCAAAATAAATAAGTAAATTAATAAATTAATTAATAAATAAAGACGCAAAGTTAAGTCAGTGGGTATAAAACACATTGTATGAAATTCTTAAAGGACTAGTAAAAAAAGTTATGTAAAAAGCAAAACATAAGACTATTATTTTGGCCATTAGGCAACACTCATCTATTCCCCTTGTATTTTTTTAGTCTTATTTCCTTCATGAGGTTGTAAGGCCCTTGGGAAGTGAGTCACCATCTTAGAACTTTTTATTTTATTTACACATTAAGAGGAACTTGCTGCAAGTTGGACTTAATGATAACACAGATATGTGGCCTAATGTTTGCCTTTTTAGAATCATTATTTCAGCTAAATAAATGTATCTCTCAAACTAGATCATGGAGAGAATGTTGCTACTGTTTATAAGAATAAACGTTTTAAAGTTGTGTGTTCATCTTTCACTTGCCTCCATCTAAGTTTGCTTTTTATAAACTACTGTTTAACTACAAGAGCAGGCTCTTGTGGTGGTATGTTACTTATGATTTATTAAAGCTTGCCTGAGGATTCAGAAAGCAAAGTCAGCCTCAAGCTACAGAGATCAGGCAGTGTTAGCACACACCTTTAATCCCAGTACTCAGGATTAAGAGAGATCTCTGTTGGTTCAAGGCCACCATGGCCCACACAAGAGTGAAGAATAACAGCTCATGCCTTTGACCCCTGCACCTGGGATAATTCGCCTTTAATCCCAACATTAGGGAGGTATATAAAACAGGAGCAAGGCCTCAGAGCTGGCCGTTGCTCTCCAGTCACGCTGAGGATAGAAAGACGTGGAAGCCTCAGGATTCTCCAGTCACACTGAGGAGACAGAAGTCTGAGGTTTGGTGGAGCCAGGATCACCTTTTCTTATCTTCAGCTTGAAGTTTGAACCCCAATATCAGTTTCAGGGACTTTTAATTTTTTTTTGTGTACAGACTCTCAATGGGTGTGGTGAAACACACCTGATAATCGCAGCACTTAGGAGTGGAAGGAGGAGACTGGGGATTCCAGAATAACGTGGGCTACAGCGACATGGAGAGAAAAGAGTGGGCTTTTAATAATAATTAAAAAAATACTAGTATTCCTTTGTATATAAGTATTTTGCCTACATGTTTTGCACCACGTGAGGCCTGGTGCCCGGGAAGACCAGAAGAGGACATCAGATTTCCCTGACATTGGGGCTGTGGATGGTTGTGAGCCACCATGTGGGTGCTGGGAATTGAACCCGGGTCCTCTGGAAAAGCAGCCAGTGCTCTTAACTGCTGAGCCATCTTGTCCAGTCCTCTGTTTTTTTTTTTGTTAAAATTTTTATTTAAAGACCTCTACTAGGAAATTCGCCATCAGCAAGACTTGAGCTGGCAGATGATGAAGCAGTACTACATTTGTTTTTAAGTGCCGTAGAATTATAGCTTCTTCATAAGACACATAATTGCCTCCAGTCCCCTCTCCTTCCCCTCTTCCCTGCTCACCCCCTTCACTAAACTGAACAGGATGTATTTGGTTATACAAGATATTCTTCACCACAAATATGTATAGTTTATTGCTATGCTGAGTAAAGACGTAGACTAGAATTATATACAACCTGCTTTATGACGTTAAATAAGAGGAGTGTGGTTGTAGGTGCCCAAAGCTTGTTTCCTTATTCTTTCCCAAAAGCAGTAGGTACAATTCATATTTTAAGTGGCAGGATCGCTTTATCCTGCCATTTTAAAAGACAGCCCTGATTGATCAACCAATGAAGGAAGACATATTTTGTATTATTTCAGCTTTTACTGGCTTAGTTGTCTCCCAGCCTACATTTCAATATCTGTGGTTTACTCATTAGCATTTAAATGGAAAAGTTGTCTAGGTGGGTTCTGGTAATTCTATTTGGTCTTGACAAATAGATGGTGCCATTTTGTGAGAGAGAGAGAGAGAGAAAGAGAGAGAGAGAGAGAGAGAGAGAGAGAGAGAGAGAGGAGTTTTATGTCCCAGACATTACCTGCAGAGGTCTGTCTGTATGGGCTCTTCTAGCTGTCCCAGGGGCTCTGAGAAGTCCTGTCACCGAGAGACAGGCAGGCCTTCATGTGTGATTTTCCCTGTTTAGTTCCCCTAGTAGCTGGGATTACAGGTTCACATCTCACATGGGGCCAGCAGTGAGATGTTCTCTCCTCTACCCCTTCCTCTCTCTTGCTCCTGATTTTTGTTTTGTTGTGAGACAGGGTCCTACTATGTAGCCCTGGCTGGCTTTGGACTTGGTGGTAGTTCGCCTCTGCCCTGCTGGATGTGTTAAGTAACAGGTGTATACCAGCATACCCTCTGTTGGCTCTTGCTTGTTTCCCTCTGACCTGGGGTAGAGATCAGGGAAATAGCCATACCTGAGAACAGAGCATGGTAGCGTTTCCTTTCTCGGAGCCCAGGTTGGGGGGGGGGTGCGTTTGAGAGTAGTGGAGGCCATCAAGAAGGGGGAGAGTTACTCTCTGCGCTGGAATGAACAGCTTCGGAGTGCTGTGTGCCAGAGAGTGAGCACTACCCAGGCAGATTTACTCCACCTCCGTCTTGTGAGGCAGGGGCGGCTGCTTTTACATTGGTTTCACAGATGTGGGCTGGCCAGGTTGGGAAGCTAAGTGCCTTTGTCCTTACGACAGTGCTGTGGCCCGGGTGGCCCGTAAGTGGCCGTGGCTCACACCTGTGGAGAATGTGAAGATCGAAGGGCGGTCAGTCTGTCTGGTTAGGGTCTCTGTGCACGGAGGCGCCTTGTGCTATGTAATCACATAGTAGGAAGGACACATGGCTCTCCACCCTCCTTGTGAAGGACACTAAGCCAATACCTAGGGTCCTCCTCACGCCCAAGCCTTAACCTCAAAGCCACTCTTCCTCCCCTGACTACCATAAAGGAGGTAAAGTTTGAACTCATGACCCAGGGAGAGACATTCCAACTTCATTTCAAGAGCTGGAGATGGATGGGAAGAGCTTAGTTAGATATTTCCACAGACAGTCCTCCCTCTCGGGCATTTGGGCTCAGGGAAGGGAATCACAGTCCGATGCAAAATACCTGCCATTGCCACAGCGGGCAAGGGGTGCCCAAAACTGTGACACCCTAGAACAGTGCTTCCCTTCCAAACCTGTGGGTTGTGACCCCATGACAACCCTCTATCTCAAAAAAGAAAAAGAAAAAAAAATTACATTATGATTCCTAACAGTAGCAAACTTATAATTATGAAATTGTAACAAAATAATGTGATGGTTGTGGATCAGTGTAAGGTGTACGGCTTTTCCTCCCGCCGCAGATCAGCCCAGCATTAGAGGGTCTTAGCATTAGGAAGGCTGAGAACCACAGCTCTGGAGTGCTTGAGTGGAAAACCATCAGAGACATTGTGGGACTCCTCCCCTTCCACGAAAGAGCTCATATCCGAGGTCTTGTGTTGGTCTCTCACTTCTCTCGGCCCCCGAGTCCCTCCGAATTTGTGGGTCCCCTGCCTCCCAGGAGCTGGGAGTTGTCCTTGGGAACTGCCTTTCTACCACTGAGAAACCAAGGAAGTCTGTTTTGCAGCTTCTGACTTTGTGGAGTGTAAAACCAGAGTCGCTGTTGGAGGAGGCCTTTGGAAGCCCAGGATGCTTTTCTTCCGCGATGAGGCTTATCCAGTGACGGCCCATACCAGGGACCCACTCGGACCTGCTGAGCAGCTCATCTCACCACCTGCAAGATGGGAGATTGGAGGCTCATCTTCGCTACTCAGTGGGAGCGTGTTTTTTCCTAGAGACTAGAGTGGAGCTGAAGCTGACAAGCTTGCCCCACGGAGAACATAGCTCCCACGACTATGTCAGACACACATGCGAGTACCTGTAGACATTAGAGAAGCTGGATGAGGCCTCTCACTGCTTTTCTTCAGACGTGTATCTCACACGTTGTCTGTGGATGCGTGTGTGTGTGTGTGTGTGTGTGTGTGTGTGTGTGTGTGTGTGTGTGTGTGAATGTGGGAGGGAGTGGGTGCTCTGTCTGCGGCGTGTCTCCCAGGAACAGTGGAGAAAATCCTGTGGAGCTTCCAGCTCTGTTGCGAGTGAGCGGAAGGACGATCATCCTTTGCCCATGTGTGTGCACTCATTCCCAGGTTCCCGAGCCTGCTAGTGAGGCAAGCCACGGGAACGCTTTCCTGTCCGCCCTCTAATGGTGTCGGGTTCTCCTGCCACAGTGGTGAATGGGGAGTCAGTGCATCTTTATTGCGGCTTGTTGTCTGTGTTTCTGCTTCCAAGATTGATATTTTCCACCTGTCTTCCCACAGGTCACCCGGTAGACATGATGAACATCAAGGCCTTCACTTTGGTCTCTGCCGTGGAGCAGGATGTGCTGACTGGTGACAAAGAGCACATCAGCATTGAGTGTGTGGAGTGCTGTGGCAGGGATCTCTACGTCGGCACCAATGACTGCTTCATTTACCACTTCCTGTTGGAGGAGAGGACCACGCCTTCTGGGACAGCCTCGTTCATGGCCACCAAACAGCTGCACAGACACCTGGGCTTCAAGAAGCCTGTGAGCGAGCTGTGTGCGGCCTCAGCTCTCAATAGGCTGCTGGTGCTCTGTGACAACTCCATAACCCTGGTTAACATGCTGAACCTGGAGCCAGTCCCCTCCGGAGCCCGCATCAAGGGGGCCACAACATTTGCAGTGAACGAGAACCCCGTGAATGGGGACCCTTTCTGCGTGGAAGTGTGTATCATCTCGGTGAAGCGCAGGACCGTCCAAATGTTTCTGGTGTACGAGGACCGAGTACAGATTGTCAAGGAAGTATCCACTCCAGAGCAGCCCCTTGCTGTGGCTGTGGACGGCTACTTCTTATGCCTGGCCCTGACTACTCAGTACATCATCCTGAACTACAGCACAGGCCTTTCCCAGGACCTGTTTCCCTACTGCAGCGAGGAGAAGCCGCCCATTGTCAAGAGGATAGGCAGACAGGAGTTCCTGCTGGCTGGCCCCGGAGGCCTGGGTGAGGAGGGGTTGCAGCGTTGCTGTCCGGGGCATCTGCATTCTGCCTGCAGGTGCTGGCTTAGGGTTTCTGGATATACCTTGCAGTGGGAGAGTGAGGGTTCCACGGTGAAACGTGTCGTCACTTAATGAGACGGTTCTAAGAAAAACATCATTAGCTGATTTTTGTCACTGTACACCTTCAGAGTATCTGTCAGTTTAGATGGCTACAGTGTTGCTAGGCGGCATAGCGATTGCTTGCAGTGCACTGTGGACCAGATGGCATGTGGTAGGTGATTGTGCTCATGAGTGCCGCCTGGCAGCACTGCAAATATGTGGCCAGGTCACAGCAGATCTGCACAACTGACGTGTGTGCTGAGAAATTCCATCATATTGTGAATGTGGGTGGGGTGGCCGTTTCCCACCAGAGTGGTATTTTAGATGTGGCCAGTGAACCCGATTAACACCTCATTAATAATTCACATTAGGGCTCATTCTTGGTGGTGCACAAATGTACGGGGACTTATAACCACTCCTACGGTGTCATACAGCTGGCTTTCACCGCCTTAAAAAAAATCCCTGGGCTTGACCTCGTTCTCCTCCTGAACCCCTGCCCCACCTCCTGGCAACTACTAACCCTGTGCTGTCTTCATAGTTGGCATGGAAAGTATAGTTAGAATCATATCATGTGGCTTTTCAGAGTAGCTTTTACTTGACTGTGTATTCCAGACTCTTCCATGTCTGTTCATAACTTGGTAGAAGAAAATACTTGGGCCCAGTGCTCTTTGCTCTTAAAAAAAAAAAGAATTTTTAGTATGGGAAGAAAATATATACATCTACATAAACTTAATTATATATTTATATTATATAAATTGTGCATTCATATAATTCACATCACATCATAAAGTACACATTACACATAATTTACATGTGATGTAAATTATTAATTATGTACGTATTAATATGTTATGAACCATATGTGTCTTAAGTTTATGTGCTACATAAATTATTGCATATCATTTATATAACTAAATGTATAATTATCTTTATATACTATATATAATCACATATTATAAAGTATTCTCAAATTAATCAACAGTAAATGAATATATAATCATGTGTTTAGTTAATCTATAAATATATATCATCTAACACATGTACACAGATATAGGAATATGAGCATGGCATATTCCTGGCCTCAGCCTGGTCCGTCCCTCTGTATCCCTGTCCTCTCCCTGTATGTTATTTTGAAGTAGCTCTAGACATCACAGCACTTCATGTGTGAACATTTAATATGGTCCAAAGTTGTAGACACACGTATGCAAATGAAGAACGGCAGTGGCCTTAAAATAGCTGCCAAATACATTTAGACACGTTATATCCCGGCTACTTTACCATACGTGTTAGGCACACGCAGACGCGTTCAAGTGTCTGCGTAGTTTTTTCTTTTTGTCGCTGTTGTGTTTTCGGTTTTCTTGTCTCGGCTCATACAGTGTCATTGGCCGTTAGATCTGTTAAATTTCGCTTTGCCCCCTCTCTTTTCATCCCCCCCCCCATGCTGAAGGAGTTGGATGGTTTCCTACACTCTGGAAGTTTGGTAGTTTTATCCCCTTAGAGTGGCTTAACATGCCACTCTGACCCCCTCAGACCTCCTCTGTTCACTGCGGTTAGACGATTAGGAGACCCAAGGTCTTCTGTGCTTGCTTTATGAGGGAAGCAAGAGACTTTGCAGTGTGGGTACCTCTATGGGGAGTTTGCATGGCTTTCTGCCCTCTTGTGGTGCAATGGCTGTTGCTGACCACTGCCTAGGTCCATGTCATCTTTAGGGCCAGGCAATAGTCTATTCTTCCCTTCATGTATCGCTGGGAATGCCTCTGTGGAGCAAACTTCCCCTTCCTTAACCACTCGGCATCTCTCAGGCACTACGCATGAAGTCAGGGTGAGACATTCAGGTCCCTTCTATCTGTGAGGGATGTTTTTGAAAGATCCTTATTGTAAACTCAAGGGTCCCGTTAGATATCCGTGGTCCCATCGGTGCTTGCTGTGGCCCTACGTGGTGGATTCTTGAGCCACTTTGCTATGTATGTCTCTAGAAATCCGAGAGCTTCACATTTCATATTCTTGCACCACACCTGGTGTCAAGCCACTCCTCCCCAGAGCCCTGCTGCTTACAGACCACGGTCTGGGTGCAGGAGCTCTTGTCCACGTTCTCTAGGCTTGGTCAATGGACAGTGCTGGGAACTATACCCTTCTAGGGTAACTGCATCGTAAGATCATGTCAGGATCCATCCTTCTGTAGCTTTCCACCTCACCAACGTTTCCTCTCCATCCTCCTGCAAGAACTCCTGTGATAATAGATCCCCACAGAGGATCTAGCCTGTGTCCTGCCCACATCTAGCCTCCTCTCTTAGGTAACCTATTTGTTTATCACCGTCATCATTATTATTCTCAGTTTTGTCTTCTGTTTCAGCTGTTGTACACTGGGCAAGAGCATGGACGTGTGTGAACTGAGCTGGTCATTACCATGTCTCCTTGTGTTGGGTGTGCATCTGGGATTCCCATTTCACTGCACCTGTCCTCTAGTGTAACCCTAGCTGCTCTGGTTCTGAAGGCTTCACAGGGAAACTGTTAGAATCCCATGTTCCTTTCTTGGTGATAGCGTTAGATTAAATGGGAAGGACAGCCACTTTTCTGGGTGCGTTTACTCCCACGCTTCCTATGACTCATCTACATGAGGATCACGCTAAATGAATCAACTTACTCAAATGTCAGTCTGCTTGTAATGAATGTAGACATAACACATAGCAAGATTATTTGTAAGGTCTCTTACACATACCTTCTGTAGCTATCGGTACTACAAAAAGCATCGTTACGGGGCTCTAGAAATTAAAGAGTTCAAACAAATTACCATCAAGATTATACATGCACCTTTCGGCATATGTTTTTTGTTTTTTTTTTTTTTTCTTCTGCCTTTCTCCCCGAGTGTAACCTATGACCTCTCTTGTCATAAGAGATCATGCTTGACCTTTCGTAAGGCAAGTTTACCAAACTTTTTGTAGTACTTTAACGACACCCCTCGATGGCACTTGCAGACAGGGAAACAATTCAGATGCTCTTCATGTTGCGTGGGCTTTCCTCCGACCTGGCTTTAGGTTGCAGGTGGGCTCGAACCTTGAAGGGGCACGGCCAAAAAGAGCGATTTTTTTTTTTTTTTTTTTAAAGTTGGTGTGCCCTTTCCAGATCTGTGACATTGTATACAGGCAACACTTGGGATCCAATAGTCATATAAAAGCAACAGACTTCATCGCCTGCTTGGCCAGAAGAGAGTTAGCTGGGGCCACTTCAGCAACAGTCTAGTTAGGGGGTACTGTTGTGGCTTGACTGGCCCTTCTCACTTGCCTGTTAGGGCTCTGCTCCTTCACTCCCGGCATCTGGCTCCTGCCCTCCTTATTTACATCAGAAACGCTATCGGGGCCTCCACACCGCGCTGCAGTTCCCTTGAGAGGATAAGTGCCTCTATGTTGTGCTCCCGAGCACCGCTTTTCCACCCAGAATTTAGCAGACTCTGCGGGATCGTTCATGCGCATCCCTTTGCCAGTTTGTGTCTACCTCCGGTCGTGGTGGAGGTGGCATCATCACATCAGCAGCCGTGCAGGCTGCCACTTCTCCGCTTTGGCCTCTTTGCCTGACTTCGGGTCACAGCACTGACATCCCCAGCTCAGTCTTCATTCACCGCTGTGCCTGCTCCCTTCAGTGTCTCCTGAGGCTGGCTTTGTGTACTTGGGCATTCCTGTTGGCTATGGTCATGGTGTGTGTCCCCCAGAGGGTCCCTGTGTTAGGTTCTTGGTCTCTATGGTGACAGGGGAAATGGTGGGTCCTCTAGGACAGCGGTTCTCAGCTTTCCTGTGAGAAGTCTGTGACTCTTTAATACAGTCCCTTATGTTGTGGTGATAAAATTTAGTTGCTGCTTCATAACCGTGATTTTGTTACTGCTATGAATGGTAATGTAGATATCTGTTTTCCGGAGGTCTTGGGCAACCCCTGGGTCATTCAAATACCAAGGGGTCACAAGCGACAGATGAAGAACCACTTTCTAGGAGTTGGAATTTGGAAGAAAGTCCTTAGGATGGGTCTTGAGAAGGACGGGGGGGGGGGTGGTGGTGGCTGGGTTCCCCCTCCCACTTTTCTGGGTTTGCATCCTGGCTCATGGGGGTGGGTGGCTTTCTCTGCTTCATGCTCCTACTAGGTTGAGCTGCCTCAGCGGAGACCCAGATGGATGGATGGCCTTTCTTTCGGCCACTCCTCTTATACCTGCTTCCTCTTCCGGCCCCTGTTTCAGCTGCTTGGTTGCTTCCGTGGTGTCTAATCATCCGGAAGCAACACTGCGATGCTTTCAAAAGCTAAAGTGGATTCACAGACACCTCTTGGTCAAAATCTTCACCTCGGCGGCCTTATGTACGGACGGCATAGCTAAACTTTCGCACATTAACTACGGACAAAGGCTTTACAGCAGTCTGCCTTGAAAGCAAAAAAACCCAGTTTTCTGTGTTACAGCGTATGTGTTCTTATGGCATATATGCATTCTCGGTGGTAAAGGGCGTGAAACCAGTTAACCAGTGCTCAGACCTCAACGCCAAGCGTGGCCAGCTTCTGAAAGGACTCTGAGTAGAGTGCCCGGCACATAGTACGTGCTCAGTAACTATGTTGACCAAATGTGTGGAAAGGAGCTTGAACCCTAGAGGCAAGCTAGTTGGGGGAGTGGAAGGGAGCTCGCCACACTTCCCGAGCCGTTTTCTTTCTCCTGTGTGGGGGAACATGCCATTTATAAATGGGCCCGCGAGTTCAGCGGAAATATCTTAAAAAATCTCATTTGTAATTGCAAGCAGACGTGATATGCACTCTAAATAAGGCAGTTCTCTTCATGGCGATAAAGTCACATGCGGGTCTTTGCACATGAGCACATCCCGTTATTGTTTTTGAAATGCGAGCCTGTAGAACTGAGTGAGTAGTGAGTTAACTTTTCACCCTGTCATTCCCATGGCGAAGAATGCCTCATAGCTATTTGAAGGCACCTCCTTTCTATTTTCCTAGGCATGTTTGCCACCGTGGCCGGAATTTCCCAGCGGGCCCCTGTGCACTGGTCAGAGAATGTGATTGGGGCAGCTGTTTGCTTCCCCTACGTCATAGCGCTGGATGACGAATTCATCACGGTTCACAGCATGCTGGATCAACAGCAGAAACAGACCCTGCCCTTTAAGGAAGGTCACATCCTGCAGGACTTTGAAGGTAACTGTTGTAGAAATCTTAACAGTATTTTTTTTTTTTTTTTTCACTCCAAACTTTCTGTTGTCTTTCTACCGTACACGATCCCGGGGACGCACTTACGCAGAGAGAAGATACAGAAACAGCTGTGGTTAAGTATACCTGCTGTTCTTGCAGAGGACCCAGGTTTGGTTCTCAGTACCCACGTCAGGCTGCTCACAGACGTGTGTGTGTGTGTGCACCTGTACATGTGTATACCACATACACACACGTGCGCACACACGCACGCGCATGTGCACACGAGTACACACACACATATGCACATGTGCACACACACACCACATACACACGCACATGCCCCCCACGCACACATACACACAGACACACACACACACACACACAAACACGCACACGCTCACACAAGAAATAAAACTTTAAAAAGAAAAGAAGGCAAGCACTGTAACGCCATCTCTGTGTTTCAGGAACAGCAGGGTTAAGGCAGTGACAGGCATTTCAGTAAAGAGGCACAGCAGTTTTGGCTGGAGATGGAGAGCAAAAAGAGAACTGATCCCTGGAGAAGTCGGGGAGGGCTTCCTGAGGGTGACGTTTAAGGGTGAATAGGAGTCAGCCAAGCAGGTGTATGCAGAACCTTCAATCAGAGAAAAGGGCGTGTCTGAACAAGAGGGCCCACAAGTGAGTCCTTGGTACGTGTGGAAGGCGGGGTGGGGGGTGGGGGGCGGGCGCCGAGGGTATAGCGTGGTTGGGCATAGTTGGCAAGTGGCCCGAGTGCCATGTGCCCAGTTTCACTTTCCCTTAGCTGTGTTTAAACGTTCTTGAACGTTCAGAGGAACTGAAGGAGACATGGGTGAACCGCCATAGTCCCTCCCTTCACCTGGACTGGAAGCTTGTTTGTGTGTCTCAGCATTGTTCATAAGTAAACGGAAGACACTGACAAACCCCCTAAGAACATGGGCAGCTGACGGTGTCGGCGTTGGTTCTGTAGTGCCGTCTACTAGCCCGCCCTTATGTGTGTCCAAAGGATGGCTCTGAGCATTTTCAATCTACATCCATACCTTGTTCTTGCCATTTGAAGATCTGAGATGCTGGGGTGAGAAGTGTAACCCCGCGCTGACGCATGGACTGGAGTAACACGTGCCCTCATCCCGTGGGACACAGGTGGACAGGTTGCAGATCCCTCTTGAACAGTGAAACACATGGATGTTTCGGTCCTTTCTTGTGGCATGGCTTAGCATTAGCCTAGAACCTACCCCCATACTCTCATTGACTTTGAATCATCTCTAGATGACTCTACTACTTAAAACAATGCAAATGCTATTTAAACAGTTGTTAACTCACTTGTTGTTTGGGGAAGAAGGACACAATACCTACTCACGTTCAGCTACAGACAATCATTCTTTCCCAATTATTTTCAATCCCCGGTGGGTTGAACCTACAGATTCAGACGCTGTGGACGTGTAATCTGCAGATACAGGGGGGTTGGTGATATACTCCGGTTGTGGAACTTTGTGTATTGAGTGGTGCTGACTTGCATGGGACTTAAGACACAGAGGAGGCTGGTGTAGACCACCTTGTATGGTGGGCAAAGTCCCTCCTGGGAAGAGTTGTTCCCAGCAGACAGCCAGAAAACAAGGAAAAGCACTTTGATAGGGGTGCGGGAGACAGAAGAAATCAGTTAAGTACTTCCAGTGAACAGGGGCTGCTGAGTTCACTCTGAGAAGCCCAGTGGAAGAAGCTAGCCTGGACTGCAGCCCTAACCTTCCTGTAGAGTGTGGTGTTCGAGGGTTACAGTGATGGACAAGGAGAGCTGTCAGGATGGCAGGGAAACCAGCAAGTGGACAGACAGACCCGGTGGTGTGCGGGTGGATGGGAAACATGAAATAAATATTATCTCACAGTTGAAAGCATTGCATTAAAACCTCGGTGTGTGTAAACCAACTTTGGAAGGAAAAGATGTTGGGTGAGTTTGCGGTGGTGTTCCAGGACGGAGCTCTACAGTTCCACTGGACTGTGCGCCATGTGTCTCCTCACGGGTCTCTAAATCAGCGGGTGCTTTCACACAGTAAAGGGGCAAAGAGCACGTTTTATTCGTTAGCGGCATGACATTCAAGTTGGCCCTTCCCAGCAGCTGTCAGTGCGGGTGGAGGAAAAGGGACAGACACGTCACACCGTAACTTCAACTCCGTCTGCAGTGGTGTTGGGAAAGCCGGCGGGAGTGATTATCGGATCAGATACAGGCTGAGTGTGAGGAAGGCAGTAAGGCATCACGGGAGGAGGCACTTTTCCTTTTGCACAGCGCTAATGTTTTTCTTCTCTTCCCTCAGGAAGAGTGATTGTTGCCACAAGCAAAGGAGTTTACATCTTGGTTCCATTACCTCTGGAAAAACAAATACAGGATCTGTTAGCAAGCCGGAGAGTGGAGGAGGCTTTGGTTTTAGCAAAAGGAGCCCGGAGGAACATTCCAAAAGAGAAATTTCAGGTTGGTAATTAACTGGCCACAAGAAAGCGTGCCTGCAAGCCACGAGTTAGAAAATATTCAGATTTAACCACATGCATCGGACTCACTCTATGTAAGACCCGGTGCAGGGTGTTTGTGTGCGTCATGTAGTTTCTACAGCACATCTCACCCGCCACAGGTAAGGAAGCAGGCTGCAGAGCACCGAACAGAGCTAACCTCTGGTCTCTGATTCTAGAGTTTGTGTCTGTTGAGGTTCAGTTAATCTGCTGCGTGTGTGTCCTCCCTGTATACCGTGTGTGCTGGGGCTAAGGGGGTAAGGGGGGGGGGACCGGACACATGTATCCAGGATAAATCAATTCAGTGCATTAGTAGACCACACATTGTCATGTTGTAAAGTGAAAAGCTTGCTCCCCAACCCCCACCCCCGCCCCAGCAGCCTGTATTTATCCTCTGTAGGCAATGCTTTGCTTTGCCCAATACATCTAGCCAGGACAAAACAGGTAGTGCAGTGCACTGAAGAAACGTTGACTTTAAATGTTACTTGTAAAAATACAACCGGTATCAATCCCATTCCCTAAAAGCTCTACCTGATCAGATGTGTCAATTCAAGGCACTCTACACATTTGAGAGTGCTAAAACATGTGAGCCGAACCTGGAGGCGTAGACCTGTAAAGCTAGCTACTTGGAAGGGGGCCTCAAGTTCAGGGCTTGCCTGAGGTACACAGTGAGTTCAAGGCCAGCCTGGGAGATGTAGGGAAACCCTGCCTCAAAGTGAATATTGACACCACTTTCCTAGCATGGGTGAGGCTTTAGGTTCAGCCCCTCCTTCACGTGTCCTTCAGAGGGTGGAGAAGCTCCCATCACAGCTCCCAGACTTGCTTCGGTGGCTCTGACCTACTGGCATTCATTCGTTCAGCAGGGGGCAGCAAACACAAAGGCACCGAGCTCCGACTGCTGTCTCTTTCCTTACCTCCTCCCCACGTCCACACGGTGCAGGCAGGCAGGGATGTGGCAGAGTAAAGAGGAGCTGCCTACCGGAGCAGCGCGAAGCAATGGCGGCGTTGTGTCGCAGTTGCTGTTGAAGGTGTTGTGTCCTGTCCTTGGCAGGCAAGCACCGAGCGCAGTGTGCTCACGCCTCCCAACCCCAAGGCATCACACAGTGAGAGGGAACGCACTGGAAGGCCACTGGTGCCATCCTAGTGGCCCTGCCTCCATGACCTCATCCACCCCTATCTGCACCTGGCTCGCTGCACCTCCAAGCACCGTTAACATGAATTTGGGGGTTAACTTTGAGGACTCAGGTAAACTTCAACGTCCTTACTGCCGGAGACTGGGAAGTTTATGGTGGTTCTGTCTCCTCGTGGGGTGAGGGTGAGGTGGGGGGTCATTTGAGTCCAGTAGCTTTTGTAGCAAGACTGGATATGACTAGGATTTTCCCCACACCTGGTAGGTCCTTTTAACCTTTTTTTTTTTTTTTTTTTTTTTTCTTTTGCTACAAGGGTGGCCCATATTGTCTCTAATTCCAGCAACAGAGCTGTGTGGTTGGCAGCAGGACTCTGCTTTCTGCTTATTGTTATAAGGTGGTATAGTAAATCCAGCTGTTAGGTCAGACATGGCTGTTTTCAGAGAGGAAAGATGAAGGCAGATGGAGAGTGGTGTGTAAGCTGCTAAGCCTGTCTATGGGCAGTTTAAACAATGCGCTGATCTTAGTGTCCCTGCAGGGACTGTTGCTATGCTTTGTTGCTGTGCTTTGTTTGGAGAGCTCTTTAAAACCATAGTGAGCTGGGATGCTTCTCAGTAACAGAACCCTGGACCAGCATGCACAAGAACTTCAGTTTGACCCCCAGTAATCCAAAAGAATTCACAATACACACACACACACACACACACACACACACCACTGAAAAACCTTTTAAAGTTGATTTGAGAGAGTAAGATTGTTCTAAAAAAAAATAGAATGTGTATTGATGAGTTCTGGCTTTAGATCGTGGCTCAATTACTTACTACTTTAGCCACTTTGAAGTAAAAACTTATCTCTAAAATAGACTTTCTGATATTTAAAATGAGGGACAATGGTTTGTTCAATGAAAGTGGACCGGGGAATCCTTCAGAGCAGTAATCCCAGAATAAGTAGGAGACAGCTGGTAAGCTGGTGATGAGGCGCTCGGGTCCAAGTAGTGATACCCAAGGGTCTCTTGGCATTCTAGGTCAGAGAGAGCGATGGGAACTGTCTTCAGTTGGGAGACAGAGCGATAGGATGGTGCTCGAGAACAAGCAACAAGATGCGTCCAGAAGCCATTTCAGACAAACCTTGGCGGGGCTCAGAAATGGGCATTGAGAGAAGGGAGGGAGACACTGGGTCTCCTGAAGTGTGCACGTGTGATCTGTGCATTTGCTTCCTGAGACAGGGTTTCTCTGTGTAGCCCTGGCTGCCCTGGAACTCACCATGCAGACCAGGATGGCTTCAAACCCAGAGATCCACCTCCTCTGACTCCGGAGAGCTTAGGTTAAAGGCATGTCCCTTCACTGCCCAGCTTTTAATCGACTAATTCTTTAATGATTTTTTTTTATTACTATGTTATGCACATTGGTGTTCTGCCTGCATGTGTGTCTGTATGAAGGTGTCAGATTCCCCGAAATGGGAGGTACAGACAGTTGTGAGTTGCCATGTGAGTGCTGGGAATCAAACCTGGGCCCTCTGGAAGAACAGCTAGTGTTCTTAACCACTGAGCCATCTCTCTAGACCAGGTGTGTTTGTGTGTGTGTGTGTGTGTGTGTGTGTATGTGTGTGTGTGTTGTTGGATGTTATAAGAATGGATGAGCCCTGCAGATGAGTTAAGTTGGCTTGCAGTGGTCCATGTCCTGGTGAGCTGGCAATTTTACTGCAAGAACTTTATGCAGTCTGATATCAACATCTTTAAGAGATAGTCACACACCACCTCCTCAGCTTTGGCCGAGAGGGTCCCTGTGTCTGTGTAGTGCTGAAGTCGACCAGCCTTGTGTCTATGGGGTGCTGTGAGAAATACTTGTGCAAAGTCACTCTCAGAGGAGTAGAAGGACACGCCAGAACCCCCGAGGTTGTGATTTCCACCTGAGCAACCAGAGGCTGGAGCAGTGACAGAAGCCTGGTGGATTGAGAAGAGGGGTGGATCAGCACCTTAGGGGCTCATGGGATCACGTGTATGAAGCCGTGTCAGTGCGTGTGTGTGTTTGTGAGTACGTGCATGTGCATGTGTGTGAATACGTGTGTGCACGTGTGCATGTGTGTGCAAGTGTGTTGTACATGTATGTGTGTGTTTGTGAATACGTGTGCGCATGTGCTGTGTGTGCAAGTGTGTTGTACGTGTGTGTGTTTGTGAATACATGTATGTGCGCATGTGCGTGTGTGTGCAGGTGTGTTGTACATGCATGTGTGCGTGTGTGAATAAGTGTGCGCGCGCATGTGCGTGTGTGTGCAAGTGTGTTGTACATGCATGTGTGCGTGTGTGAATAAGTGTGTGTGCGCATGTGCGTGTGTGTGCAAGTGTGTTGTACATGCATGTGTGCGTGTGCACACTGTGTTGTACACGTGTATAAGTGTGTGTTCATTGGTTCAGCTCCTCTGCTCAGGAGAGCACTCTACTCCCTGCGTGCATGAGGCTGTGGGCTCTACCCTCAAGCACCACAAGAAGAAAGATTTATGTTTGTACTGACGATGTGTAACCTGTTTGTTTTCTTGGATATTATAACTGTTTGGCCTGGACAGTCTAAGGGACCTCTGGCGGTGGAACCAGGATGCATCCCTGGTGCATGAAAGGATTTTGGGAGCACATTCCCCATGGAGGGGATACTCCCTTAGCCTAGAGACAGGAGGGAGGGCCTAGGCCCTACTCCAAATGACTTGACAGATTTTGATGATCCCTCCTGGAAGGCCTCACCCTCCCTGGGGAGTGGATGGGGAATGGCTGAGGGCGGTGGGGTGGGGGAAGGGGGAGGATGGGAGGGAGAGGGAACTGAGATCAATATGTAAAATAAGAATACAATATCGGGGGCGGGGGGGGGGGGAAGGGGAAGAAGAACTGTTTGTATTGGACTTACAACTTGCTAGGTATCACAGATAATCTAGACATGGCTTAAAAGCATATAGGAGAATGTACATATGGGATACAATCCTGCTTTATCTAAGGGACTTGAACAGAACGTATGTTGGTATCTCTGGGGCCCTGGAACCCAGCGCCTTCTCACTACTGAGGGATAAGTGCATATATTCAAGTATATTTTTTCCCTGTGACTAGTAGCTGTTATCATTTTGTAGTAAGGCAAATACAGCCCACCCCTGTGGTGATGGTTGTAAAGGCACCTTGAGGAGATAATTGATCCGTGTTTCCTTACAGGTAATGTACAGGAGGATTCTGCAGCAGGCAGGCTTTATACAGTTTGCACAACTCCAGTTCCTGGAAGCCAAAGAGCTCTTCAGGTAATTTGAAGTGTTGGTAGTAGGAGTGTCACTCAGTGTCCCCTGTGCTGAGAGCCTCCATCATCTGTGTGATCTCAAGGGGGGGGGGGGAGATTGTGTCATGGCCAGATGGAGACACAGGTAGGAATGGTAAGGGCTGTTTGTGGTAGGTCACACACTTTTCAAGGTGGTTGCTGGGCTCCACCATCTGCCGTAGTATGTCCACTGTGCCAGTTCCTGAGTTGGCAGACTGAGCAGAGTCCGTGAAGGTAGCAGGGCTCCTGAGCCAGGACAGCAAGGTTTCTGGAGTAGGATTGCTGACGTGTGGATTCTGAGGCACATTTATTCTTGCCTCCTTTCCAGAGATTTCCCTGGAAGCTGAGTTTAAAGAAAGCAAGGGCTTCTGGGAAAAACTATAAAAACTTTTTTTTGTTTGTTTTTTTTTTGTTTGTTTGTTTGTTTGTTTGTGAGGCAGTGTATCTCTGTGTCGCCCTGGTTGTCTTGGAACTGCTCTGTAGACCAGCCTGGCCTCGAGCTCACAGAGATCTGCCTGCCCCTGCCCCTGCCTCCTGGGTGCTGGGATTAAAGGTCTGTGCTGCCACTGCCCAGCTTATACCTGTAGCTGTGGGGGGCTTTCCTGTGCCGGTTTCTCTCCTTTGTCTTCTCCCCATTCCTCTTGCTCATTTGCTTCCCCACAACCTGCCTTACACACATGTGCAGGAAACACACCCCCGCCATCACTACCGCCCTCCCTCGTCTCTGACCTTTGCCCTCACCGCTGTGTTCCTGAGACCATGGCCACTCACAGGTTTGCTCAGCGTCCTCCAGGGAAATGAGGTGGTGCCTGCTATGATTGAAGTCTCTAAGTATCCTGGAGACCAGTGCCTCCCTGGAACATTCTGTGGTCTGGGGCTTCCTGGCGAACAGCATATGTAGGAAACTCTGTGTAATAGTAGTAGACCCTGTGCGTCCCTGGCCCCACTCTGCCCTTCCTCAAGGATGATTGCTCATGCCCGGGCACGCACTGACATACACAGCACGTTTGATGTCGCCCTCTGTCACAAAGTGACAGTCTCCTGAGGGAAGAAGTCACTTCTTGAGGAGTGGCTCCCACAAGAGCACTTTTATCTGTGCCGGTCCAGGTGCTGCCACCATCTGCTCTTGGTGGTCTGCAGTTTAACCCGATCCCTCCCCCATCTGCACCTTGCATTTTGTCCCGCCGGTGCCAATGCCCTTGACTGCCACACTGTGCGTGCATCATCCCAATGCATGGTCTTGTGGGTCAGCCTAAGACGCCAGGTGCCTGGGTGGGAGAGAGGTAGCTGGGCCTGTCTGCCACTAGGACTGGGTTCTTACGCTTCCTCTTAGTCTCTCTACGGCACGGGGGTCAGGCTGGTGGCTGCTCACCTTGTCCAAGTGTCCCTGAGAAGTGACGTTTGGATAAGAAGTTTCCCAGACAGGAGTGAATTCTGTTGCCCTTCTTGTGCTGTGAGGGAGTTGCTCCCTGTACTAAGCCTTGTCCTCAGGCTCCACCCCAGAACTGTGCCCGCCCGAGGCCATACTGCTAGTTCCCGCCCTATCAGAAAACCCACCTGGAGGGGCCCCATGCTGTGTGTCTTCCACCTGTCTTCACATCCCTCAGCAAGCCTGACCTGAGTGTTAGAATGGAGAACACAAGGGCACGAGAGAACCATACGAGGCTGGAAAGCGGCCTCTCCCATCTAGCGTGGGGGACTGCCCTGGCCAGTAAGTACTGCCAGGACTTAACGTGTGCCAGGAGGAGAATCTTCCTCCACCATGTTCCCCCTGGATCTGAAGCAGTGAGCAGGCTTTTCCTGCATCAAGAACCCTCCTGTAGGCCCCAGTATCTTGACTGTGACAATGTTGCTTCTTAGTTCCTCGTTGTGAGTGTGTTGGGGCAGGGCTGTCTGGTAAAATGTAGGGTGCTCAGCCCTGGATTCTACCTACTAGATGGTTGTAGTAGCACCACTGAGCAACCTGTTTGGGATTTGGTGTCAGGGAGAGGCTGGTTTCTGAGGGGGCCATGACCCTGTCCTGCCTCAGACTGACGCCGCATTGCTTTTGGATGGATCTTTCTTACTCTGGGAATCCCAGGGCTCCCTGGGTTTTCTTCACAGCTCGGGTACCTTGATGATGTGCTCCCCAGTCATCTGTGTGTGTCCCTAACCCTTGTTTCCTCTGCTCTTTTTGGAACCGTGTTTGGTACTATTTATTCCATTGGCGTGAGCAAATTAGGATGATGTCACGGATGCACTTACCCCCCCCCCCCATTAACCTGTGCCTACAGGCACTGCCCTCCAGTGTTGTTTGCGTGCCTATGTGTACTCTCTCTCTCTCTCTTTGCTTCATTTAGTTTGACACTGTAATTGCAGAAGCAGCCAGCTGGATGTCCGGGAGCTGATCTCTCTCTACCCCTTCCTGTTGCCCACCTCCTCTTCCTTCACCCGGTCTCACCCTCCTCTCCATGAGTACGCAGACCTGAACCAACTGACCCAAGGCGATCAGGAGAAGATGGCCAAATGCAAGCGCTTCCTCATGAGCTACCTGAACGAAGTGCGCAGCACAGAGGTAGCAAACGGCTACAAGGAAGACATTGACACGGCCCTGCTCAAGCTGTATGCAGAGGCTGACCACGACAGCCTACTGGACCTCTTAGTCACTGAGAACTTCTGCCTGCTGACGGACAGTGCTGCCTGGCTGGAGAAGCACAAGAAGTGAGTGTTCTTAGCCCCGTGTGGTGAGGCTTCATGTCCGGCCCCCCTGCTCTCCCTGAGGCACCTCAAGGGGATGCTGTGGAACTGACTCGGCCAGCATTGTGTTTGGCTTCCCAAGGGCCCAGGCAGCAGCCACCAAGAAGTCATTGTGACAGCCGGCACAAGACAGTCCTCAGATGACGATGCTCTCCCGGCCTAAGGGGCCTCAGAGGCATTCGCTCTTGCGCTTGTCCGTGTTGGAGCGTGCAATGTGAACTTCTGTGAGCCTTGTCAGTTAATGCAGCCGTTCAGATCCTCCTGTTGTCAGACTTGGACTCACCCCCCCCCCAGGAGATGCTGCATACTTGGTAGTCATAGTGCAGCTGAGTCACTTACAACCAATGTGGTTAGATAGCCATCTAAATAAATAGCTGCGCCTTCTTGATCTTACTGACCACGGTTTGAACTGCCTTCCATTATGTCTAACAGTTAGCAGGCAGCCCTAAATCCATGCGCACTGACCAGTTTGCTTAGGACTGGCAGCTCCTTGCGGTTTTTAATGTGTGGCTTTTTAAAAGATTATTTCATTCGTATGCATACATATACATACACGTGTGTGTATTTGTGTGTGTGTGTGTGTGTGTGTGTGTGTATGTATACAAGTGCAGGTGCTAACAGAAGCCAAAAAGAGGGTGTTAATCCCCTGGGCTGGAGTTAACAGTTGTTGTGAGCTGCCCAACATAGCCCTCTCTCCAGACCTCATGTGAATTTTGTTTAGAATGTAAAATGAAAAGGGACTCAGGTAGTATGCCTGAGCTAGTGTGGGATTCCTTGGCAGTGTTAGCTCTTTCCACAGCTTGCAGTGAGCTCATTATGGAATGGTTGTATAGGTTGCACATCTCTTCACCAAAATGCCTGGAGAGAAGAATTTCCTAATCTGAAACTCTAATCTGCTTCAAGACCTGACACACAGGCTTGGAGGAGGGCTCGGTGGATAACGCATTTGCTGTACAAGCACGGGGGCTGGAACCTAGATTCCAGAACCCACATGTGGCAGCCCACCTGGGACCTGCTGGCTCCTAGATACACAAACTGATGGGCTCCGGGTTCAGTGGGAAATCCAACTTCACTGAACAGTGGAAACTGATGGAGGAAGATGGCTGAAGGGCAAAGGTTGGCCTCCACCGGAACATCCCCCAAACAAATGCAGACTATGCTGAGGATCACACACACACACACACACACACACACACACACACACACACACACACACACAGAAAAGAAAAAAAGACCCTAAGCTTTTTTGATCATCTAGCTTGCCCTTAAAAGTTTCACATTTTTTGGCATGTTTCAGATTTCAGGTTTTAAATTACTCAGCCTGTTGGTTTCAAATCCAGAGCGCGCACACACACTGACACCTGGTGGTAGTGATTCAGGATGCTGTACCTGTTTTTAAAAAAAAAAAAAAAAAAGTCGTGTAAAGATCCCAGAGATGTAAAAGAGAAGGGTCCGGCCGACACTTGAGTGTCTTGAGATGTGGCCCTGGCCTCTCTGGGTCATCAGCTGCTGAGCGGGAAGAAGACGGTGGGCAAAGCATGAGGTGTGCCTCTCCCAGACTTGGTGCCATGTCCTTGCTTACCCTCTCCCTCCTTTCCCTCCCCCAGGTATTTTGCACTGGGGCTGCTCTATCATTACAATAAGCAAGATGCCTCTGCAGTTCAGGTGAGTTGGAAAGGTTTCAGTGGGCTAGCTGGGCGACTGACGTGGCCGATAAGAGCACCCTGAGGCTTCCACATTTATTCATACAGCACGTGTGCACACGTATACAGGCACACACACACACACACACGCTCACACACACGCATGGTCACACACGTGCACACACATGCATGGTCGCACACAGAAGTGCACACATGCACACACGGCTTTTTTTTTTTTTTTTTTTTTTAAATTAGTGTTGTTAAAAGGCCACCACCTTTAATTTTGTGTTACTCCCATCAATCAATAGAAAGCACTTCTGGCCTTTTCTACAGAGAACAACCCTAACACTGTTTTCAAAAGTAAACTCCCTGGGAAGTGTTGGCTTTGCGTCTCCTGATAAAAAGTCCAGGAAGCGATGTCGTCTTCAAATCTCTTCAAAGAACATTGTGATGCTTGAGTTTGTGGAAGTTGAAGAAATGAAAAAAGGCTGATTTCCTTTTTTTTTTTTTTTTTTTAATGAAAAGGGGGGCCTGGAGAGACGGCTCGGTGGCTAAGAGCGGTTTCTGCTCTTCGTAACTCTGTTTCAGCACAGCCTCACCACCCTAGATCCTAGGGATCAACCTCTTCTTCTGGCCGCTGTGGACACTGCACACATGTGGCGTATGCACACACAGACACACACATACAATACATACACACCGATATGCATGCATACATTTGTCCCACGGTAATGTATACATTTCTTAGGTTCAGAGTACCACTTGGCACTTGCTTACAGTGGAAGGTGATGTAGTCATGGTCACTGATGTCCCCAGCTTCTTAACTGTTCACCATCTCTGTGCACTGGGAAACTTCATCCCAGCAAGTGCAGAACACTAAGGGTTATTTCTCTAAGTGTATTTAGTAACCCATATCTACCTAACTGCCCCCTGCCCAACCCCTCCCTGTCCTTCCTAACTACTAATATCCACTGCTTTTCGTGATTTCTGTGAAATTAGCTTAAAAATGTGCTGTTTCTGCTGAGCCAGCAGGCATATGATATAGCCTTAGAAAATTAGGGCAGCTGCTTTTGTAATTCCCTCTGTCGGTAACAGCGACCATTGCCAGTGAACTGGGCAGTCGCTTCCCTTACAGCACCAGTGCAGAACCACAGTGATCCAAGTTCACAATCCCCTGCTCTGTGGAGGAGTTGTGATGTAAAGGCCGGCAGGGATGCTGGGCCTGAATTCAGTGGCATCGATTTGTTAGCCCTGTCTCTTGGCTTGCCCCTTACAGCTAGCTAGCTTTCCATTGATCTTCACAGAGCATCTTCTCACACCTTGGGGAGATGTGTTCCTGTCTGCCCTGTTACGCCACAGGTCACATTGGGTGCTAGTTTCCCCGTGAGCCTTTTGCGTAACAACATGGGTTCCCCGGCTTTGCCCTTGCATTTGTGAGTTTAGTCTGCAGCTGCTTCGCTAAAGCATCACAATAACATAATTGCAGAGCGAAGAGAACAGGAAAGTGAGTTCCCATCAACACATGCCTCAGGGCCAAGAGCAGATTTGGATACTACAGACAGAACATTTGTTTTTAAGACACGGTAGCAGCATCTTTAGAATTACTGCACGTGTGTTACGATGATGTTAGCACAGCTATAGAGAAAGATTTGCATACTCGAATAATATGGAGTAAATATTCATAAGTGACAAAAGTTCCATAAAAACAATTAATACATTTCAGTGGAACTTTGATTCAGTTATTTAATAACTGAATCTGTACTGGAAAAAAATTCATATGCATTGAGCATCATAATCAGTTTTAATGGGGGGAGTGGGGGGACCACAACCTTTTTAAATTGCAGCTTATTTTTTATTTTGTGGTATTTGCATGAACAAAATGAAATGTCTTGGTCATAAGACCTGAGCCTAAACTAAACTTCACTTGTGCCTTACACAAATAGCATGAAGGTAATTTATACAATACTTTTTATAAGTCTTGCTGAAAACCAAATTTGATGATGTGGAATTTTCCACTTCTAGCATCATCTCACATTGTAAAGAAAATTTAGCACGTTTGGGTTTTCAGATTTATTTCTCAAAAAAAAAAAAACAAAAAAAAAACAACAAAAAAAAAAAAAACTGATCTTGGAATTTACAGGGCTCTGTATTATAGGTGGGACACCCTTTGTTCAAAATGCAATGCATGGGCTGTGAGAGCCAGCCCAGCCAGCCACCGAGTCTGCCAGCCTTAATCTAGGCCAGTGTTCGGATTCTAGATTCTCAAGTGAGGGGTGCTTCGCCCTGTGTTTTTAAAAGTCTTAAGAGAGCAAGAAAACAAGGGCGTTGTGAGCTAACTGTGCAAGACATACAGCATTCTGGAATTAAAGTTCCTTGGTTTACTATTTCTTTTCAGTTGTGGGTGAACATTGTGAACGGGGACATCCAGGACTCGACACGCTCAGACCTGTATGAATACATCGTTGATTTCCTTACCTACTGCTTAGACCAGGAGCTGGTGTGGACACATGCTGACTGGCTGTTGCAGAAAAGCGAGGAGGTTTGTGTTCCACGATGCAATCTCTTCGGAATGGCTGGTAAAAGACACGAGAGCCCCCCCCTCCCCCCCCCCCACACACTCTAGGTGGAAGGGGAGAAAAGCCATACTCATTCTCCCCATTTACTTTTCACGAAGTTTTGAACCCCTTCCTTCGAGCAGGAGTAAATGCCACAGTCTGCTGCTGCTGCTGCTGCTGCTGCTGAGGTCCTGCAGAGCCCTCCTCCTGCAGAGGCGTCTCCTAGAAACACAAACAGCCTAGTCTGCGCATGCTCCCGGGGTTCAGCTAATTCTCCACGGTGCCCTCTTCCCTTGCTGGGGAACAAAAGTCTGCATTTTGTTTTCTGGGACGGGAAGGGAAGGGAGCAGGTTGTTAGCCTGCGTAGCCTGGTCTTTTGCAAGAAGTAGGCCCCAATCGGGGCCGCATCAGGAAGAGCACCATCTCCTTCCGTTTCCATCACTCCTACTTAGAGGCTGTGGCATGGAGGAGTGAAGTGGCCTGGCCGCGACCCGGCTCGTCTCGGAGGCCGAAGCAGTACAGCACCAAAAAACAACTGTCTCTTGGCTGTAGAGCCGTGGTTCTGCGTATTGTGCTGACCACCCCCCCCCCAAACCATAAAATTCATGACTGCAATTTTGCTGTTCTTAGGGACCTTAATGTAAATATCTGATAGTGACCCCTTCTGGGTCACGGCCCACGGGTTTAGAACCGGTGCTCCGGAGCCAGGCAGCATGCTCAGGACGGAGGGACACAGACCTTAATGGGGCCCCACGGGCCACCCCCACAAAGTCAGCAGACATAACAGACCCATGTCCTTGGGGCCCCCATAGAGAGACGAGATCAGACAAGTCCAAGGCCGGGCAGGACAAACTCCCATGTCTCCCTTGTACTTCCTGAGCCAGCTCACGGCCCCTCCTTGCACACTTTTTATTCTATCCCTCCTTTACCTCTACGCATGCCGCGTACGGAACACACCAGCACACGTTCCTATGGTGTGGATGCCGTGTCATCGAAAAGGTTAGGTCCTTTACCTGGGCAATCTTAGCCAAACACACAGAGATTCTGTGGGCCACGTACTTGACCTTTGTCATCTCTTGGAGGGCATGGTTCACAGATGGGGTCAACAGACCTTCAGTCCCAGCACTCAGGAGGCAGAGGCATGTGTATTTCTGTGAGTTCAAGGCCAGCCTGGTCTACAAAGTATATTCCAGGACAGCCAGCGCCACGCAGGCCACACAGAAAAAGCCTGTTTGAGAAAACTAACAAACCACCACCAACAACAACAACAAACCCAAAATAATGAGGTATAATGGCCTTCTTAGTGTTTTCTCAGAAGGCACAATGGGTCTGGAGTGCTCCTCATGGGTGACAGGGGAAGGCAGCCTGGAAGCTGTTCAGGGACCACAGGCTCAGACGGTGGAGTAGCCAAGCACAGGAAATAATCTGATAGCCAGACAATTCATTCACAGAACCAAGAACATACTGCATCTTCGTTCTTTCTGGATTTTTCTCGCTTAAACTTTGCAAAGGACTCTTTGCAGTCTCTATTTAGGATAATCTTAATAGCACTAGTGTTGGTTGCATGGCTGTCAAAGCCTATTTATTACCAGTGACCGCTCCATTCATGAGTTGCCAACCATCCTGGGAGAAATCCCCACAGTGTGTGGAGATTGCAGTATGTATGTGAGAAGCTGCGCCTGCCCGGTACATCAGCATACTCTGCATGATGTGCCGCAGACCATGAACACTAGGTGGATCAAAGGAAAGATGGCGACAGCTGACTTTTGTCTGCTCTTTACGCAGATTGGAGTTCAAGTTTTCACGAAGAGGCCTCTGGGTGAGCAGCAGCAGCAGCAGGCCGGTTTTAATCCAGAAGACATTATCCGTTGCCTTAAGAAATACCCGAAAGCCCTGGTTAAATACCTGGAGCATCTTGTTATCGACAGGAGATTGCAGGTGAGCACTCGGAGGCTGGACAACTCAGGGAAGGGGATGTGACTGTCGCTTTTGGGGCTGACCATGTTCCCTGGCCCACTCAAACCATGCTTGTTGGTGATCTGAGGGAATGTGAGAGGGGAGGGGTAGATGATGTTTCTTACCTCCTGTCTCATAGCCGCTCCGCTCCCCTCCTCTCCGTTATTATCCTCAAAGGAGATGGGAGGAGTCACGTCACTTGTGGAAGTTCCATTGTCCCTGCCTGTGATCCACCCCTTCCAAGCTTCCTCATCCCCCCAACCCTCCCCCCATAGCATCCCATGGGGACCAAGCCTTTAACTCATGGGCTTCGGGGACACATTCAGCATCCAAGCCGTAGTAACATGACTTTACCCCTCCCTCTGTGTTGGGGCTCCCCGGGGGGGGGGTTTCCCAGTGGCCTGACGGTGTCCTGCCCAGCACAGCTCCCCCCCCCCCCCATGTAAACGCTGTGTCTGGGGCGTCCCTGGTTTCTGCAGAAAGAAGAGTACCACACCCACCTGGCCACCCTCTACCTGGAGGAAGTTCTGCGGCAGAGGGCAGCCCCTGGCAGCAAGGGCGTGGAAGTCACCGAGGTGCAGGCCAAACTCCGCAGGCTGCTCCAGCAGTCCGACTCATACCGCGTCCACCTGTTGAAAGGTAAGGGTAAGCTTTGCATCCCAGTGAGAGACTTCTTTGGGGCTGGGCTAGGGGCAGGGGAGCCATTGTCCCACGGTACATTTGTGTCCCACATTTGAGCTGCAAAACACCACGACTCAGGTCCTTCCAGTGATTCCAGTGCCTTCACCACTCAGCATCCCCAAGCACTCCCCAGACAGGCGATGCTCACACCCTTAGGAAATGTCATAGTCTGAGCATAGAACCTGTGTAGCTCCCATCTCCTTGCCTTTGTACCTCTGTCTGCAGCCTCCTAGTAATTATTTCCCGACGTTCCACTATGGGGAGAATGACGATGCATGTGTGCCGTGGCGTCTGGCTGCTGCTGTATTTCACACAGGCTCTACGGCCAGCCCTTTACCCCCAGGCTGGTAATATCTGCCTCGGGCACCAGACCTGAGGAGCAGCCTAGGGTGGCCAAGCTACAGATACCAGTGCCTATCTCTGAGCATTAACCTCCGCCCTCAACTGAGAGTAGTCAGTCCTGGGAATATCCTATTGCAGCAGGGAAAGATCGTGTGTTGTCCCGTTTCCTAGCCCACAGGGAAGAAAGTGACCTTGGTAGTGAGACTCGGCCCATCAGCCCAGTAATGGGGAGCCTTGATCAGGACTGACAGTGCCTCAGGGCTGTATCATTTTCTAGAAGCTTAACTGCAGGGGGAACAGAAGAAGAGTTTTTATTTCTGCCGACATTCATTGAATAATACAGATAGGATTATTTTTTAAAAAATACCTTGTTCCTTTCAGGGAAGCATATTTTTTAAATTGGAATAAAGGGCACTGAAAAATGGCTTTTTGGGTAAAGTGGATATTTGGATTTTATCCATTGGTTCTGCATCTGCAGATTCAACCAACTGTGATTCTGAAAACATTTCACCCTAAATATCGTAGCCTTACAGTCAGCCAGGTTTGCATTGTATCCTTAGTCCTCCACCAGAGGTGAGCTAAAGTATATAGTGTTAGTTACTTGAAAACACTACAGGGGAGGGATTTGGGGCTCTTTCTTGGAGAGTCTGAGGACACGGAGGGAGGGACAGTTGTTCCCCTGTGTGTTAGTGGCGAGATTTCATACTAGGAATAGACAGAGTGACGCCATGGTAACTGCACACCAGGAGCTGGGATTCCAGTGATGCTTAGGGGACTTTTGAGACCAGACTTACCCGCCTCCCTCAACCATCTAGGTGGCAGTATTTAGCAATGTCTAGGTAGCCCGGTAGCCTGCTGTCTACACAGGCTGTAGGAGCAAGCAGGTGAGCTCAGCCAGCCAGCCAGCCAGCCCGACCAGTCTGTTACTGAGTGCCAGTTTTGCCCGACAGAGAAGATCCAGGGTGCCGGCCTGCCCATGGAAAGCGCCATCCTCCACGGGAAGCTGGGCGAGCACGAGAAGGCCCTGCATATCCTAGTGCACGAGATGGGCGACTTCTCTGCAGCCGAGGACTACTGCCTGTGGGGCTCCGAGGGTCAGGACGCAGCCAGCCGCCAGCGCCTTTTCCACACCCTGCTGGCCATGTACCTCCGCGCGGGCCCCTCCGCCCACGAGCTGACCGTGGCCGCTGTGGACTTGCTGAACCATCACGCCAGGGAGTTTGATGCCGCCCAGGTCCTGCAGCTGCTGCCTGACACGTGGTCAGTGCAGCTTCTCTGCCCGTTCCTCACGGGGGCCATGAGGGACAGCGTCCACGCCAGGAGGACCACACAGGTGGCTCTTGGCCTGGCCAAGTCGGAAAACCTGATTTACATGTACGACAAGGTGAGTGCGTGGCGCTTGTGCTTCTCTGCGAGTCCTTGTTCCGTGAGAAGTGAGTCCTTAGCCCGTAAGGTGGGGAGGGGGGTCCTGGTTAGCTCTTAACTCTCCACTCTACATGTATTGAGTGTTTCCACCAACATACAGAGATCTGTGTGAGCAGAGGTAACGTCAGTGAGGCTTTTTTCCCCCCCCATTTGGGCACTGGTAATTATGCAAGGGTAGAGCTGGATGTGGTCACTCACTGTAGTCCCAGCACCTGGGGGTGGGGGGCTGGGGCAGTAAAATGGCCAGGACCTCAAGGTCAACCTGGGGGGGGGGGCGCACAGTAAGTTCCAGACCAGTCTGGGCTTCGTTGCAAGACCCTGTCTCAAACAAGCAAACCCAGGAAGACTGTGTAATGAAGGCCGGTAGTAAAGACCAGGGATGCTCCCCAGACACATTCTTTATGTCTTTTGGAGGGCTTTGTGGCATCGTGGTGGTGTCTTTTGCTGTCCTCTCTAGTGCACGGAGGACAGAACTGAACCTTGTGACAGTCCCATGGAGGAGCTCAGGAGGAAGTACCGCCCTCCTAGGCCAGTTCAGAGACCCACGCGGCTGGCTGGCAGAGCAGGAATCATTTATCGTCCCGTGTCACACGTAGGCCTGGGAGATTCCGTGTCACCCCCCCCCCATCCCATCTTTCCGATCCCTTCTTGCTTCCCAGCACGTGCCCTGGCCTTAGCTGCCTGGCTGTGTGGCCTCCTTGGCACATGCCGACCCCACCACCTGCGGTATTTTGCCATTTCCTTTGTGAACGCCCAGTCAGCACTTGGCCTCCTGTTTCCCTCCACCTTAAAGCCTTCTGCCTACTCGCATCCCTTGTGTGTGCATTGGCAGCTCCCTCTTACTTTTAGATTCTGAGGGCAGGGGACCTTTCTTTATGCTTCCCTAGTGCCAGCCCTGGCATGCTGCAGGGATGCATGTTCATGCAGGGGAATTCCCTGAGTTGAGGCTCTTTGCCCCTGTCGGTAGACCGACTTGCCCAGATTGATGGAGAGATTGTACAGAGAAACCTTAAGTTATGCAACTCAAGTCTTAATTACCGGACAAGGGGTGGGGGACAATCCTGACAGGTCCTGTTTCTTACTGACTTTGAAAACATGAACTTGTGATGTGAGAATGTTCCACTAATTAACTGAGTGACTGCAACCAAATCCATGATTTGGGTCCTGCTTTTTATTTGCAAATGGGGGTCTGACTTGGTCCCACTCAGCTCTGAGAGCCCACGCTTTTGTGTCCGTCTGGGGTTAAGACAGCCAGCGCTTTGAGAATGCCGAAGGGGAGGGCTCTTGTAGAAGTTTTCAGACACTAGTTCCTGGGGCTGGAGAGATAGATGGCTCAGAGGTGGAGAGTGCTCATTGCTCTTGCAGAGGACCTGGTTCAGTCCCCAGCGCCCACACGGTGGTGGCCCGCATCTTCAGATCCAAGGGTCTGACGACCTCTTCTGGCTTCTGCAGGCCTGTGATGCACATAAACTCAGGCAGGCACACACAGATACAAATGAAAATGGGTAAATCAGTCTTCAAAAACAAAAGGGAAGCAGCTCTGCCCCTTCCTCTGTCTGCTCACTAAGAATGGTTCTGTTTATTCCCATTTCTTGTGTCCTGTGTCAAGAAGTTGATAGGGCACAGTCCGGCAGCTTCCGTAGTCCACGGCAGAATGTGCACCCAGCCTGACTCAGCCTCCTCACTATCCATTGCTTTCCGTTTGCAGATGAAGCTGAAGGGAAGTGCCGTCCGGCTCTCAGAAAAAAAGCTTTGCCAGCTCTGCCAGAACCCTTTCTGTGAGCCTGTGTTCGTCAGGTGCCCAAACGGAGGGCTCATGCACACCCACTGTGCTGCCAGCAGACACGCAACCCCCAGCTCGCCCAGCCCCGGCACTCGGACTTGAGAAGTGTGGTTCCAGGCTGCAATGGGGATTCTGAGCCCTTTTCCAAACCTGCTTTGTCCCACCCAGTCAGCCAGAACAAAGGGAAGGCATCTGGCTGCCAGGGAAATGCCATCACCTCGCCACCGATTGTTCTGTGTGTGAATGTAAACGGAAAAGGCCTGAAACCCCAAGAATAGCGGCAGGCCAGAGACCACCCCATCCAGGAGGGTTCTGTCATCCAAAGCACAAGCCAACTTTGAGAAGCACGCCCTGCAGCCTGGGCGATCCGAACACAGGTTGGGCCCGGAAATGAGGCCCCGCCTGGCTCAGGGTGCAGAGTCCCGAGGCGGGCACCTTGCCTTCTTGAGGAGGTGCGTTCTTCATAGAGGCTGCGCGTGTGCCGCTGAAGTGGACATAGTTTCTGTTCTTCCCATCCAGCCGTCGACCTTGGAGACCCTCTGCCCTGTTCACTTAAGCACTCAGTTGGTGTAAGGTCCTGTGCTTCCGACTGCCTGCCTAGCACATGGAGATCTGTTCAGAAACATAAAGCTTGAAGCAGGAGGGATGGAGAAATGGTTGCACCAACCCTGACAACCTGTATTCAATCCCCAGACCCTACATGTGGGAGGAGAGAACCAGCTCCCACAGGCTGTCCCCTTTTCACGGGCGCACACGCACGGGCGCACGCACGCGCACACATACACACACACACACACACACACACGGGGGAAGAAGGAAAAGAGATGGAAGTGGGAAGCTGCTTGCCCGTCCTGAGGTCTGAGGTCTGCATCAGAAAGGGGCCCTCGGGTTGTGTGAGTTCGTTTCCATCCACTTGATTGGACATACACAGCTAAATATTATTATTTGAATCCATATAATCTGTGTAGTTTTCTCTCGTTTGGAATTTCCTCGGTCATTTTCATTACAGATACCCCTTTGTTCACTAAAGTGTACCTCCTACTGAATACTTGGGAAAATCAAAGGGAAACGTGATGAGTAAACCAATGAGCCTTCCGGGGGAGGCTGGCGGTGGCAGCCTCCGCCCTGTGAGCTCTTCCCGCAGCTGTTTGTGCTGTGTGGACCTCAGGAGGCAGTCTGGCCAGGCCGCCTGATGTGCCCACACATCTCTATGGCTGCTGAGCTTCCTGAGCCCTCAAGGGAAAGGCCTCGTCCGTGACCAGCTGGACCTGGTGTGTCTGCGTCGGGTCACAAACCAGCTGCAGCTCCTGCCATTTCACTGCCCTCTTTCAAGTCATCTGTGAGAACCTCGGGACAGACAGACAGACAGACAGCACACCCTCTTCTGTGATACCTGGGCTGACCGAACACACCCTCTCCCCACCTGCCAGACCTCCCCTCAGTGTCTTCACACAATGCTCCCCGGACTTACAATGATCAGGGTATTCCTTTCCTCTTGGGACTCCGAGTAAGCCAGGGAGTAAAAAGCATCTGTCACCGTCCATGGGGGGGGAGGGCTGACACCCTCTTCCCTGTGTGCGTTGAGTGTCTAAGAATAAATGAAGTCTCCTTGCAGCTCCCCTGTGTCCCAAGGATGACTGAGAACACTCTTCGCACTGAATGCCATACAAACCCATGAATTGGTGTCTTAATTCCCAAAGAACGAGTTACCCCACGAGCAGTGTGAAACTTGAAAGCTCCCTGCACAAAATGGCTCGGTCTCAAAGGGCTTGTGACTGCTCACTCCTAACCTAGTCTCTTCTCTGAGTGTGGAGCCACAAAGCTGAACAGTTCAACCCCCACCGAATCCTTCTACGAGGGGGAGAAGATTCGCCCTCATACGTTACAAATCCTATCTCCTCACCTTCCTCACACTCTCCCCAGGGCTGTTTCTCCAATCCCATTTTAAAGATGAACACATGGTCCTATCCTCACAGCCGGTAACTGTCCGTTGAGTGGTGCCGTGATGACTGGAACCGGGCCTTTTCCCTCCCTTTAGGCTCTGCCCAACCATCCCAGTCAGAGAGCAGCGTGGGCTGAGATTGGTTCGCATTCATATCTGTTGGGTGGGACTGTTTAATTGGGGGAAACTGTTTTATCTGCTGTTGCCCACAAGGTGTTAACGCAGGCCTGTCACCTAGGCTGTGAGAGGCTTCACGAGCCATGCTCACACTATCGGAGCACAAAGAAGTGAGTGCTTGGTCAAACTCACGTGGCATCTGTCGCACAGCTAGGGCAGCCCTTGCCTTCTGCTTGCTCTCCCACAGGAAACCCTGTCTTCATAGCTCCCTTTGCCTCTTAATGGGTCCCAAATCCACAAGATGTACAAATGTAAACTTGTTGATTTTATTAAAATTCTTCTAATTCTTTGTTCTTTTTTGTCATTTTTTTTTTAATACTAAAAATTACCTCGCTGAAGTGCTGGTCTCTACCCATGCTGTCCCGTTGGAAGGAGTTCTAGAAACCCTGTGCCCGTGGAAGTACCTGCAGCAGCTGCGGATGCCCCCTAGGCTCTGCTGTGGCTTGGCTGGGTTTTAACCTCTCCACCTCAGCATTTATCTCCTGCATATTCCTAGGGCACCCTCGTATACTCAGGTGAACAATGCACTCAACAGTTCTGCACCAAGGTTTCAAATGACTTGGCCCATCCTCCCTCAAATTGAATGCCCTTAAGCCATAGGCCCCTGCGTTCCTGACTCTGAACCCTCTTGCCTTTGATACTCTACTTCTGTGGGGTGAAGAGATGCCTCAGTGGGTGAGAGCACTTGCTTGCAAACATGAGGACATGGTTTGCCATCCCAGAACCCATGTTGGAAGCCAGGAGCAGTTGGCGACAAGCCCAGAGGTATGGAAGGGCAGGGACAGCGTTGCTCCAGGTTCAGTGAGACCCTCCCTGTCTTCAGGGAATGAAGGAGAGCGGTAGACAGCCCTGTTGGCTCCATACACCCCCCCCCCTGAAATGGCACACAGGCACATACCCCGTTTCTTCAGATCAACCCCGGCCCCTGAAGTGGTCACAGCAGTCCTGATCCTGTTGAACGCCAGTCCTGTGTCATGGGCTAGCATCCCACCTACCCATCCATCTCCGAGCAAAGGGACTTTCTGACTCTTCTAACCCTCCTGTATCGTCACATAGTCAGGTAAACCTCACATCAGTGGAGTGTGGCGCGCTCAGATTTCAGACAGGGAACTGGGGTGTTCTGGTGAGTTTTAGTTTGGCACCAGGCCAGCAAGGAGACCCAAAAACTGTGCCAGGCCCACTGTTACTCAAACTACCATGGGTATGCTTTCAGAGATGCGGGGCCATGGCTAGGACAGTCTTTTTTGTTTGTTTGTTTGTTTTTACACGCTGGTATCTTAGTGTCTCTTAGCATATTAAACAGTAAGGAAGCAAGAGAGGCTGGAGGCTGGTCAGGGAAGAAGAGGTTCCATTCCCACCCAACTGTGGGACTACTCCGAAGATAAGAGACAGGACCGAGTGGTAGAGAAAAAAGTAAATTGTCCTAAGTGGGTTTTGTGGAGGCAAAGACTGTTGTCTGCTTCACTTAAATGGGCTGTGACTTGTGTTAGGAGTAATTAGATATTAACTAATACCCCATTTGCTCCTAGCGGATCTGTCAACCTTAGCGTTTGAAATGAAAATGCGCAAGAATCTGGACCATATGGACCGGAGACCTTTTCACCTTCTCAGAAAAGCTCAGTGGCTGCAGCGCCATCTAAAAGCTTGTTAACATGCTGTTGGGAGGAAAGTGCGGAATTAATGACGCCTGCTTTCCTTTAGCTTGCAACTGCGGAAGGGAAACAAATGGCTATAATTCAGTTCTGCAGCCTGAAGTTGTAAATTAGCTAAATGAGATCACGTGGCGAGAGAGAATTAGAGAGCAACACACAGCTCCTGAACCAAGTGAGACTTTACCAAAAAAGATGTTAGGTACCAGGAGATCTGGGTGCGACTGCCTCTGATACCCCACCTGGACACAGTCGTGTCTCTTGGACCTTGGGGTCTCATCCATGATCAAGGGATAGAGCTGGGTAGCACTGGAGGTCCCTTTAGGAGTTAACTTTCCCAGCAAGGGGATTGGGGTAACGGAACGGGCATGATTCAGCCTTCAACGCCCAGTGATGCCCAGCACATCCACCCAGCACAGACACTCCTACTCAGCAGCATGGCTTCAGATCTGCCTGCACTCACACACCTCAGTGCGTGGTCACTGTCCAGGAAAGTGACCGCCACGGTCATCCACGTGGGTTCTAGCTGTCTGCTGCCCCTGTCTGTACTAAGAAGGACTTGGCTCTGCGTAAGGGCTAAGAGACCTGCTCGGGGTCCCAAAGGTGAAACTCTCTCCAGGAGCGAAGGAGAGGGGTTAAAAGACGTCTGTAGTAACCCCACACACAATCTGAGGGCCGTGCTCTTTATCCTTCTATTTCCACTCTAATAATCCCGTCCTACCTCTGACTACTTCCAGGCTTCCTCTAGCTTCTTCTATTCTAAAAACTCTTCTCCTTCGGGAGCCTTGAAGTGATAAATTCTCTCATTGGTCAAAAGCACATTCATAGAAGAAGCGATAAGTAGCTGAGCCATTTACCACAACAGCACAAGGGTCTAAGGCCATAGGAACAAAACCATGACCAGACAGGGAGGGCACGGTGCCCAGTGACAACTTTAAGACACAGATCTAGTGTTAGTAGACAGGCAAGTGAAGAATAGGCATGCTTTTCTTGGTAACCTTGGTTGGACATCTGTGACTCTGACCTTGTACACAGCTGTAAGGTTACAAACTTACCATCTATTTACAAAGACGCCTTTAGTTTGAACTTGTTCTGAGGTGGAAGGGAGATAATTGTGCTCAGTTAGTCTGAGTAAGAGAACAAGGCAGGTGTTAACGATCGTTAACACCTGCTGTGTCTCCCTCTCATGGTCCCTGACTGCTTTGCCTTTGGCATCTTCAAGTCCTTCACCACTACGGTCCGGTTCATCTTTCTTAACAGAACATTTTCCCACTTGTTTTGAGACAAAAGTTTTCCCTTCGGGTTCCGTTTGTGTTCTTCTCAGGTCAGCAGACAAAGCCCAGCCTACTCTCAGGAATATGAATTCCTGCCTACATCATCGCCTGCAATTAAGCTGGCTTGTTCTGCCTCCCTACTCAGTGGCCCACATAGACAACTGTGACTTACCTGGCTCAGCCAACACACATGATAGAATTAGGGGAGCCAGGCTGCCTACTGTCCTTCACTCCTCCCCTCTTAGGGCATTACAGGAAAAAAAAAAACCTAGATTCATTCTGAATTGTTTCAATACGTTGCTGAATTACAGACCACCGTTGACTGAGGCTTATAAATATGTATAACCAAATGCTAAACTTTTGCTTTCTTGGGAATTAGAGGACAAGGAAGCATTCCCTTGGCTATTTGCATAATAATGCACACCTCTGTAAACAGTTCCTTTGATTTCAAATAATTTACCAAAGTATATTTATTTCCTATGAATAAACCACCACGTCAAGAAATCAGTGTTATGCCCCAAAGAAAAGCAGTAACTGCTACTATGTTGCCAATGTGACTACATTTAAAAAGTGCTCCTCTTTCAAACCACAAACATATACCCCATAAAAATGATCATTGCAACGTTGCAAGCACTAATAAATTTTTTGTGTGTGGGGGGGCAGGGAGCAGGGTTTAGCAGCCACACACACCCCAGAAATATGAGGACAACTCAGATCATTGGGCTTGGGAGTAATCGTTTTCAACCACCGAGCCATTATACCAACCCTGCAAACGCTTTCCTCTTCCATTTTATTTTATTTTTATGTGTATGAATATTTTGCCTGCTTGCGTGTCTGAGCACAACATTCATGCAGTGCCCAAAGAGGCCAGAAGAGGGCGTTGGCACCCCTGGGACTGGAGTTACAGATGGTTATGAGCTGCCACGCCATACTGGAAATTGAACAGGGTCCTCTGGAGGAGAGGGCGTGTTCTTAACCGCTGAGACCCCTCTCCCGCCCCCTGCAGCCACTTTTTAAAGAGGCTGTATTTTGAGATTTAATTTTTTTTTTTTTTTGTTTTGTTTTGTTTTTTATTTTCTGCATATAGGCGCTGGCTTGCAGGTGTGTCTATGCTCCCCGTGTGTGAGGTACCCAAGAAGTCCAGCAGGGGCGCCAAACTCTTTCGAACAGTGGTGAGTTGCCTATTCAGAAACAAGAGCCAGACGAACTTATATAGGGAAGCAGGGCAGGGCCAGGTGCCTACAGGTCTCAGCGTATGACAACACAGGCAGGGGTGTGGTTCACAGTAAGTCTAATAATTGTCCTCAACCTTTCTCTGTATACAACCATCGGGTCTTTTGGTTAGGGGAGATGCCCTACCTTCAGAGCCTTGGTCATGTCCCTCCTTGGAAAATTGCTGACCCCCCATTTTTAACTGAGTGGGTCACCACTGCACCTATGAAGTTGCTGACAGCCTGATGAACTGGCCAAGATGTGCAGGGTGGAGTTGGAGTCCTCTGCCTCACTTTGTTGGAGGAGCAAGGTGACCTTTTGAAGGGTGTAAATGGTGGAGATGGGATCTGGTCTGGGATGGGATGCGTAGGGCTGGTGTTCCACTTCTCCACGGGCACGAGCTGAGGAACAGTATCTGAGTGAGTGAAAACCAGCCTGTTTCCTCTCTCTGCCGCTATGGGGAGCCGGGAACTGCAGATTCCCCGGCGTGTTTGCACACCTGCTTTGCAGGCCTGTGTCCTGGGTAATCTGTGTGGAATAGACCGAAGCAAAGGTTATCTAATTATAGAGACTGGGCATGCCTAGTGTGAGAGCGTCCTGTAAGCATCATTATCTCTGCTCTGTCACTGTAATTTCACGCAACCGAACACCAGAAGCAGGCAGGGTACTCTCTGTCCTGTGTGAGCTTAATTTGCTTCCCGCTGTTGTCTTTTCAGGTATTCTCTGTTTACATAAACACTGGAAAAATGAGCTGCTTCGTAAACAATGGACAGAAGAGGTCAGCTGTTCCCAGCCCACTGTGGCCTTGCCCGGGGTGCTTAGTATATTACTTGGGTGGGAGGGGAGAGAGAGAGAGAAAGAGAGAGAGAGCTAATAAAGCTACTCTATGTGTGTGGAGAAGGGGAGGATGGTTAAGAATTGGCTGGTACAAGAAGTCCCGTAATGTACAGAGACATGGAGTGGATTCTATATAAATGACCTTAAAGGTCATGAGCCCCGTGGTCCAGTGCTTTTGAATGTATGTCTTTCCCAGTCCACAGACCTATTCGAGGGATTGTTTCCCCTTTCTGTCTCTATTTCTGTTTCTAAGCATGGGTCTCGGGTGCAGTTATTTGTCTTGGGAGGCAAAACAAACAAACAAACAAACAAACAGA